CCTTTCACTGAGTTCTTTATACCATTTCCTTTGTGCACTGTAATTTTTTTCTCCCTGAAATGATTTTACGATGTCTGTTGTTTCTTATAAAGAAGCAAGTGCCTAGATACATATATAATGAATATGCAATACCTCGTTTGCATATATGTAAATTGTATTTCTACTTCTCTGTTTGAATTGCTACACTAGACTCTGATGCATTGTTTAAAAGCCTTCCAGTGCAGCAGGTCTTTGATTTCCTTCATTCAGGTGGTATGACTAAGTTTCATTTTTTCAGTCTAGAGGTAGAAATGCTATACTACTGGTAATAGTGACGGTACAGAGCTGACAACGTAAAGTTTTCTGAATACTGAAAAATGTTTATTCTTCTTGACTGATTGTGAACTGCTACAATGTAGTAGTTTAAACTCTTGTTACAGTTGGGGAATGAAAAAAAATAAAACAAAACAAAATGTAAAGCCCTGCAACAAAACTTGTCTGTCAGTCAAGCCACTGATTGTTGCATGCTGTGCTGATGTTTTGTATGAAAGAATGTGTCTATTCTTAAGCTGTCAATTTTTCTCCCCTGCTTCATATTTTAAATTCCTTAAATAAGTGAGTTTACTGGTTTTCTTGATGACATCGATTTTGTGTTCTAGTTTCACTGGATCTCAGTCTCTAGTTCTGGAATTGAATCCCACCTGGTTTGCCATTTGTACAACAGTTGTGATTTTGCTCTCAACGTAACAGATGTAATATTTGGACCCAGATAGTCCTGTGTGGTTTTTTCATGTTGTATGAAATAATCCCATCATTTAATCCCATCAGTCTCTCTTTGTCTTTTGTTTACTCTCATCTGTTTACTCACATCATCATACTTACAAAAACTTCCTATTGTAAGAGACAGACTTCTTGATTCACTGTGCATAGTTCCCAGCTGGTGAAGGCAAGCACCTCCTGTCCCTTCTGTAAGAGGTGTATGATCCATTTTTACAGTAATTAGAATCATAGAATCATAAAATGGGAAGGGTTGGAAGGGACCTTAAATATCGTCTGGGTCCAACGCCCCTGCCATGAGCAGGGACACCTTCCACCAGACCATGTTGCTCAGAGCTCTGTCCAACCTGGCCTTGAACACTTCCAGGGAGGGGGCAGCCACAGCTTCTCTGGGCAACCTGTTCCAGTGTTTCACCACCCTCATGGTGAAGAGTTTCTTCCTAATATCTAATCTAAATCTGCCCTCTTTTACTTTACAGCCATCCCCCCTTGTCCTATCACTATACACCCTTGTGAAAAGCCCCTCTCCATCCTTCCTGTAGGCCCTTTCAGGTACTGGAAGGCTGCTCTAAGGTCACCCCGGAGCCTTCTCTTCCCCAGGCTGAACAGCCCCAACCCCCTCAGCCTGTCCTCATAGGAGAGGTACTTCCACCCTCTGGTCATCTTTGTGGCCCTCCTCTGGACCCTGTCCAACGAATCCATGCCCTTCTTATGCTGGGGGCTCCAGAGCTGGACGCAGTACTCCAGGTGGGGTCTCACAAGAGTGGAATGAAGGGGCAGAATCTCGTCCCTCGACCTGCTGGCCACGCTTCTCTTGATGCAGCCCAGGATACGGTTGGCTTTCTGGTCTGCAAGCGCACATTGCCGACTCATGTTGAACTTCTCATCCACCAGTACCCCCAAGTCCTTCTCCTCAGGGCTGCCTCGAGCCACTGTCTGCCCAGCCTGTACTTGTGTTTGGGATTACCCCAACCCACGTGCAGGACCTTGCACTTGGCCTTGTTGAACTTCAAGTGGTTCACGCAGGCCCACCTCCCCAGCCTGTCAAGGTCCCTCTGAATGACATCCCTTCCCTCCAGCGTGTCAACCACATCACACAGTTTGGTGATGTCGGCAAACTTGCTGAGGGTGCACTCAGTCCCACTGTCCATGTCACCGACAAAGATATTAAACAGCACCAGCCCCAGTACCTGAGGCACACCACTCGTCACTGGTCTCCACCTGGATGTTGAGCCGTTGACTGCATCTCTATGAGTGTGTCCATTGAGCCAGTTCCTTATCCAACGAGTGGTCCATCTGTCCAATCCATGTCCTTCCAATTTAGAGACAAGAACATCATGTGGGACAGTGTCGAATGCCTTGCACAAGTCCAGGCAGACGATGTCAGTTGCCCACCCTTTGTCCACCAACACTGTAACCCCATCATAGAAGGATACCAAGTTGGTCAGGCACGATTTGCCTTTGGTGAAGCCGTGTGGGCTGTCCACAATCACCTCCTTGTTATTCATGTGCCTCAGCATGGTTTCAAGGAGGATCTGCTCCATCATCTTGCCAGGCACAAGAGGTGAGGCTGACTGGCCCGTAGTTCCCCAGATCTTCCTTTTTTCCCTTTTTAAAAATGGGGATGATGTTGCCCCTTCTTCAGTTGGTGGGTACATCCCCAGACTGCCATGACCTCTCAAATATGATGGAGAGTGGTTTGGCAACTTCGTCCGCCAGTTCCCTCAGGACCCGCGGATGCATCTCCTCAGGCCCCATGGACTTGTGCACCTCCAGGTTCCTTAGGCAGTCTCGAACCTGGTCTTCTTAATTCTCAAAGCAATTGTGTTGCTTATCTGTGTTACTACACCTAGTGAAAGGCTGTTCCAGAAAGTGGCAGCTCTGACGGTGAGAACCTTTGTTCTGATTTTCTTCTTGCTTGCATTCATGCCCACATTTATTGTTGTGTTAGCATTGTCCTGTAGCATTCTTCCTCTGTAACCTTCTTTGACGGCCTTAGGGGGAGCAACGACATCCTCTCTTGTCCTTTGTTTCCTTAGCTAAAGAAACCAACCCCTGCTAGCCTGCTCTTACAAAGAAAGTTTACTCTTCCCCTGACCATCCTAGCTCACTGCAGTTGTTCCACTCGCGGGTCTGGATCTTACCAGTTCAGATTTCTTACCACGTATCTGTGGAGAACGTTTCTAATTTAAGTGTCTAGTTTGGGGGAATTTTTCACACTGAGTATTCATATAATTTAATTATTGTGTCAGTAATACCAGGAAGGAACTTGCATTAGTAGTGTCTGCCTCTGATGTTTACAGCTTTCCCAAGTGACCAGGAGGGAAAGTGAACAGATTTTTTTCTCTTGGTTTTTTTTCGTTGTTTCTGTTACATACAGGATTTCCTGTAATGCTGACTAGTGACATGGCCTTACTCAGTTTTGATGCAGTTTTAGTCAGGAGGGAACAGATCATCAGATATGACCTTTTTATAGTACATATAATTTATGTGTGAAAGGTGTTACTCAATTTCTTTACTTACTAACATTTCAATGAAAACTTATATTCTAAAAGTGTTAACTCCTGTGCGTTGGATGTTGCACACTGATGGTGGGAAAAGTTAGGTTTCTTTTTCCTTTTCCTTTTCCTTTTCTTTTGAATTGCTTATTTGTGGAACTGAGAAACCACTGAAATTCTGTGTATATTGGTATTTGTTTTGGGTAAGGAACTTCAAGTATCAAGTAGTCTTTGAATCTGGTCTGGGTGTTCAAAGTCTTCTGGATTAATAAAAAGGGATCACAGCAACCCACACAGTGTATCTATCTGTAGCAGTTTCCTAAACTAGATTTCTATATGTGTAATGCACTGTATTTTTAATAAAAAATTGTAATTTAGTGGTGAGAATGAGACTGTAGCAGGTACAGCTAAGGAAGTCAACTCATTGTCAGTTCTGTTTAACCTCGGTGTTGGTATTTTTTTCAAAGAATTCAGTTGTGTGTAGATAGGGAAACTTTGAAAAATTGACTTCAGTGGTTGATGAAAACTTTGAGCAGGAAAAAGACAACTTTCGGTTTCCTTGTCTTGCTTGGAATCTATACATATTTATGAGCAGTGGTATCCTATATATTGCCATTGGTGTGGAATGAGAAAGAATGAAATAAAAATTACTGAGGAAATGACAATGATCTTTTGGTTTGTATGTATTATATAGGTATTTCTTGAAAGTGTTGGTTTGTAATGTAAACGTAAGCAAATCATTATTTCAGCGTCTTCAGTAGCCTAAATGCTTACAGAAGAAGTCTTTTTACTGTCTCCCAAACTGTTAACACAGGAGCCTGTCTATAATAGGTAAATACTTATATATCAAATTCCTTTATTTTGTTTGTCTTCAGAAAATATCATGTTCAGTTTTTGTCATTTGATTAGTATAATAGTGGATTGTAATGTGTGATCTTTGTAAATTTTTGTTGGTTGGGAACTGCAGTTGAAATTATTGTGTTGACCTTTTTTTTGGTTTGGTTTTTTTTTAGTAGTATGGACTTTGTGACAATTGGATCTTTATAGCGGGTGAAAACCGAGTGAACAAATTCCTTTTCAGTAGTTGAATATAAACTGTGCTGTTTTACAGGAAATAAATGAGGTAGTTCAGTGGTGGCTAAACGTTTTCATTTTGTGGAGGGAGTGATACAGTTTCTGGTAGCAGTTTGACCAGATAGTGTTTAATATCAAAGAGATATTTTCAGATCAATTTTTGAAATAGCTACTAGTTTTAAAATATACTAAGATTTTGTATTTGTCACTTTGTTTACCTCTTGATTTTTGCGTCTATAAATTAACACCTTTTGTTTTTGCTAACCTCTTTTTATACGAAAAACATCTCCTGCAAAACTGGGAAGTGAATGTAGAAGCAAATTACTTAAACTCGTTATGCGTTAAGTGCTGTCCACTGCAATATGAAGTAACACAAATTTTTTTACCACTTTTGGGGCTGGTAGTGTATAACTTGAGCGTATTTTATTTTGATTGCCATATCTTGCATCATTTTTGGTGAAGGGATCTGCTTCTGAGACCGGAGGCTTGCCGTTTGGTTGCTTAATACCATTTGATATTTGAAATCTACATTGTTCTACCCACCCTTTACAAAATTTACTCAGTATGCAGCTGAGGGCATGGTCTGTTTCATTTTTGTTACTGAATTTAAAATTCTAAAAAAGTAAATGAGAATTTTAATTCGGTTTTGTTTTTGTTTTTTTTTTTTCCCTTTTTAGTGCTTGGGAGATGGGAAGTAATGATAGCTGGCACCTGAACTAAAATATCGGTGTAGGCACTACTATCCCAGAACTTCAGGATGAATGGGGATATGCCTCATGTTCCCATCACTACTCTTGCAGGGATTGCTAGTCTTACAGACCGTAAGTACTCGTCTTGTCATTGCTATGCTGTTTTCTACCTCTTCGTTAAATAGCTGCATTTTCAAAATATTAACAATAGGTTCATTTTAAAAGTTCTTAAAGGTAAATCTGCTCAAAATCTGATTTTGCATTAAAAATGTTGATTTTGTCATTGCGTGAATTTTAAAAATCTGTTCAAATACAACATGCTAATTTAAACATGAAATGTAGGTTAAAAAACCCTTAAGGAAACCCGAAACAAAATATAGGATTTCATTGTTTGCTTGGAATATCATTCAGTAGTGTATCTGGGTACCCCACAAATAAAGAAAAACATAGAAGTTATAAAATACTTCTCTAAAACATACATCTCATCATCTTCACTGAAAAGAGACGGGGAGAGAGAGAGAGAAAGAGAGGGGATTAGACTGATGCTCAGCTAACTGGAGAGTTGTGGAATATGCTGAATATACTTGAAACCTAGTTCCTTAGTTTTGGACAAGATACAAAAAAGTTGCTGTAATTAATAGGTGCAAAGAATGGCTGCTGGAATGGAAGTAAGCCGCTGAACCTCTAAGTCTTCTTTCTTAGCTGTTCAGCCTACAAAAGGAGCAGATGAGGTGTGTGTACTGTCTTGAAATACATCAGGAAGAAAAAGTGCAAGGAAAGGAGAGGAACTATTTACATTAAAAGCTGATACTGGCACAAACCCAAATGGTTATAATGTGACCAAAAATAAATTTCTAGTGGAAACTAAGAGGAGATTTGTAATTACTATCATGAGGTCGTAGAACAACCATTGCGGTAAGAGCAGTTGGGACAAAGATGCATGTTGTTTATAAAGTGCAAGAAAGAGTTTATAGGTCAGTTGTCCATCTGAGGATAATTGGACTCAGTGACCCAGGTGCTTCTTCTGAGCTCTTGTTGTTATTCTTACACTGTTGAAATTTTAAGACTTTCCACGAGACACTGAAAGCATGTACCCAGCAACTGAATTTTACAGCCTAGAGTAAAAAAAGCAGATATATTCAAGGAAAAAAAACAGTTCCTCATGTCCTTCTGACATTCTGAAATATCAAATTGGAAGATGCTGTTCTGTATTTAGATGTGTGCATATGTATCATTATGTGTGTCTAATGATGGACCATCAGTTTGCACATTGTCAGTTTCCAGGCTATGGGCAGTTTTTCAACATTGAGCATTTGCACATAAGGTTCTGAAGAACGTCAGGGTACACTTAATGGTAGAAGTCACTGGCCAGACTCCTGATGCAAGAGTTTCTTGAAACACTGAACTACCTTTGATGGGATTAGCCCTTGTCTTAGGTGCATTTGCTTCTTGATCTGTCGTATTTATCTGATGTTTAGAAACTCAAAAGCAACTGAAATAGAAATGCTTGTAACTACTTCACTTTATTTTTCTCTGTGTGGCAAGAAGGAACTGGAATGGACAAGACCTGTGCAGCCTGCTGTAGGTGACCCTGCTTCGGCAGGAGGGTTGGACTAGATGACCCACAGAGGTCCCTTCCAACCCCTACTATTCTGTAATTCTGTGATTCTGTGAAGACCTGTTGCTCTAAAAACATGGAGGACATGATGACTAGAGGCGGTAGAGTAGGCTAGTTAACTAGCTGAATTTATACTGTTGGTATAAATATGTTTTGCCGATTTTGCTGATTTTTCCAAGTTTCTGGCACATTCAAGGTGATCTGATTCAAGTAATGAAAACTATCTATTTTAATATATTATACACTTCTATTTAAATTGCTATGTATTTCTAAATACAGTAAGGATAAATAGGGGGGATAATACTGGAATTCCCCCCACACCTTTTTATTTAAATAAAGAATTTCAAAAAGTAAAAGAGCCAAAAGAGTATATTTCAATTCAGTTGTTTCTTCTGAAGCTATTTCTAATGGTACAGTTAAAACTTTTATCGCAGAACTGTAATCAGGCTGGGAACTTGAAGTCAAGAGTCGGCTTGCTTTTGTGGACCCATAAAAGTGACTTTTCTATGTAGCTAGCTTTTCGGCCTCTTCTGGCTTACTCTCCTCTGTTCCATGTAGCTCTGCCAATCATCTGGTCAAGGCTTCTTATATGGTACACTTGCTCGTTATGTCTGTAGACCTAAGAATGCCCTCAGAAAGTGTAGTGTGCTTGTTTATAATCTGACTGAAATATTGTGATGAGTGTTTTCATTAAATCTTTTTACCAAGATTTGTGAATAGGTGTATTGACAGAATGTGGTGATCATACCAACCAATGATAGTAGTCTTTTCTTGAGAAAATTACTTGCGTAGAAATAAATACAACAAGAGAAGAATAAACTAAGAATTTAGTTAGCGACTTAAATTGGTTACTGGATTGGGGATTTTTTGGTGGGTTGTTTTGGTTGGTTAGTTTTTTTTTTTAACCTACATTGACCATATGAAGTGGGAACACTAATTAAATATGAAGATCAGAGTAGAAAACTCCTAAGTATATGCTAAATGCACTTACAGTACTGCACGCAACTACACAGATTTTGCATTTCCTTCCTTTACCCATACTTTTGGCTCCAAGAGCAAGCTGCTATAGCATATTAAATAACTTCATATAGTGGAATGTTTAAAAGTACATTTTTAGTCATAATACTTGCCTCAGCACAGTTAAATATTTACAGTAATATAGAAATATAACTTGTGGACCTGACTGCATTACTTTGTTTAAAACAGAGTCCAGCCTTTATGTGTATTCATGTTTTTAAAAAATCCAGAAATCTTGCCTGTGTTTCAAATGTAGTTGTCAAGTTTTGTTTCTTAACCACATGAAAGCGTGTGAAGGTGTCCATCTTTGTATACTTGTGTTTACTAAAATGATTCTGAACTCCTTTCTGGTTTCTGATAACAGTTTTGAACCAGCTGCCTCTTCCATCACCTTTACCTGCTACAACAACAAAAAGTCTGCTTTTCAATGGACGGATAGCTGAAGAGGTGAACTGCCTTCTGGCTTGCAGAGATGAAAATCTGGTTTCACAGCTTGTCCACAGTCTCAATCAGGTGTCAACAGATCACATGTATGTATTTTGAACTTCAGCTGTATCAGATCACCATCCTTAGTCCATGAAATCAAAATTAACTGTATTGAGAAGGATGTTTGTGAGAACCTGAAAATTAGAAGATATAGGTTTTTCATTAGGCTTACTTGATAGGTGACTGCTGTATAAAGTCAAATGTTTCAGTCAGAACGTAAATAGTTATCCGACAGCCCTTATGCATAACTGTGGGGGTTATTTTATAGATCTGGTGCTTATTCCATTTTTGCTAGTTAGTAGCATAGACTTGGTGGTGTGGGTTGTGAAGTACTCATTTGTGTGCCACTTTGGTTAATAATGCACATAGACGAATTATATACCTAGTATTACACAAAAAATTTTTTTGAGATACCCATGTAAGACCCATGTCTATTCTGATTAGGTATTGTACTTAAATATTTTCAGAATTGAACCAGCAAGTATGCTAGTGTATTCTCTTTTTGTTAATTTTTTTTCCCCATGCTGTTCTTTGAACTGTCTTGAGGTTGACAACCCTGTCTTTTTCCTAGATGTTCCGATCAGTTGGCTTCATCAAATGGAAATAACTTTTAAAAGTCCTCAAAGCAAATAATAAATGAAAGCATAGATGCATTTATAGAAAATCCATTAGATTTTTTTTACGGTTCAGAGGGAATCCTGTGATGTCAAAGATATGCCAGTTTCCCATTTTAAAATAAAAGATTCTCAAAGCATTGGGCTGCAACCTGAATGTTATACATTCATGCATATGTTATTTTCGCTCCTACAATAGTACTTTCTTGATATTATGCCAAAGCGTTCTTTTTATGGAGAAGGTCACAATATAAAAATGGGCATAAGAAACTTTTCATAATAGTCTGAAACTGACAGCCATGTATAATTAAGTGATAAGTAACAGAAGATAAGCTTGAAGACTAGTAGGAATACACCTTATGCCATTCCTTAGAGACAAAAAAAAGCAGAGGCAAGGAACAGTGCTTTGCAGACTTGTTTTTTTCTATATTTTAATAGTAAATTGTCTTCTTTCATTTTGGTGGGTTTTTTTGTGGTTTTATTTTTTGTTGGGTTTTTTTGTTTTTGGTGTTTTTTGTACTTGACTCATGGTTTCTTATCATTTGAAATGCATTTGGCTCTTTATTTGCTTACTTCCGTAATTCCAGAGAGTTGAAAGATAACCTTGGCAGCGATGATCCAGAGGGAGATATACCAGTCTTGCTGCAGGCTATCCTGGCAAGGAATCCTAATGTTTTCAGGGAGAAAAGCATGCAAAACAGATACGGGGTACAAAGCGGTAAGGATTTTTGATTATTTATTGATTGCATTTTATGTTGTTCTGTAAGTTTAGGGGACTGATACTACGCACAAATACATACGGAGTGCAATTATGATACCTATGCCTTACCTTGTATTTGATAGTGATATAAAGCTATGTACCTTGACATCTTCTAAGAGCTAATAAGGTCGAATGAACCATACTTAACAGTTCCTCCCTGCCATTCCTCATCTCAGCAGTTTGGGATGCCCTCCAGATATTACTCTTTTGACAGCTCATTCTCTGCTGAGGTGTAGTGAGATGTACTGCTGGATAGCAAGGATGAAGAAGGAGAGAAACCAAGCAAAGGATTAAATGGACAGATTGTAGTTGTAGATCTGGAGACTTGCAACTGAAGTATATTCTTTAAATACCTAACTATGAAATGAGTAGGAGAATTTCCAGAGTTTCCGCAGTGTGAGGATAAAGCTTTGCTAGCACTGTAGAGGTGTAGATAGAATTGTTACTGGAGTCCACAGGGGACAGAAAATGTGGGGTGTTTTTGGAGGGGAAGAATAATAAAATTAGATTATTAGGTTCATTCACGTAGGCGAGTGAGTAAAAAGCCATACAATATTTGGAAAGAACTTGCTAAGGATTGAACACGTAATGTTCCTTGGAAGAAGGCAGAAATCTCCTGGAATGAAAATGTGAAAGGATGTGCTAAATATTTGCAAGTTCATTGATATGTATATCCTGAAATTTAAGCTCTGAAAACAGTCTCCAGATTCTGTGTTTAGTGGTAGCTGTGGCAGAGTATGATATTTCTAGCTGTAAGAGTTGTGACTGTCCTGTCAGTTTGCAGAGTGGTCCCACAAAGAGCATATGCTTGAATTAGAGTTTTCCCCCAGTTTTGTAGACTAAAGTTATTTTTTACCAATGCAAAAGGGAGACATAGTTTTTGAAATTAACTGTTCTAGCAGATGATCTAGCAGTTCAGTACAGTTTGTCAGGAAATAAAGGCGTCTTCAGAAAGCTAAATACTATGTTTTGAATTCTGTGAATATGTTAAGCACAAACAGAATTCTGTGCTGATATTTTTTTCCAAGTTCATATTGATCAGTAGTTCAACACTAAGTTTAGAGCAAGAATTGTTTTTAGTTATGTGGAACAAATAATGGAAGAAGGATGTATTATGTGGACACTTCTTTCACTTTGTGTTCTGAGCAGGCATCGCCCACCTGCCCCCCACGTTGCTGGCATATTTCTTTTCAGGTATTGTAGCACCAGTGTTCAAACTCTTATTCCCTCTCTTTTGATAACAGTCCCATTGTCGAAACAGTCTTCATATAACTTAGATGTTTAGATTTTTCTTACTGTTTCCTGTTACCAGGTTGTCTGAACAGACCGAGTCACATCACCATGCAGTGTCAGGCCTAACTTTGTAGAAGGGCAAAATGTTAATTTTATTTTAGACCTTTTTCTTCAGCTGACATAGAAAGTTCTGGGTGCCATCTTGCAGCTACATCTGTCTTGCATTTTGCAGTGTATGAATGAAGTGGATTTCTTTATAAATATTTATTTAAAATTAAGAATTATTTGGTTTCAGTTTTCATAATATTTTTTTCTCTTTTCCCTCCCAACACTTTGGCTTTGTCTGTCAGCAGATATGTGTTGGAAGATCAGCTGAAATAGTATATTGCAATAGGTTTGTATTCGTAGCATCACTTAGGGTTCAGAAAGGGCTAAATATTTGCTTTAAGCTATTTATCAGAATTTGTATATTTTGGGGGATTAAAATCTTATGCTTCTTTCCACAGACATCAATTACTCGGATAACTTTTTTCATTTATACAAGAATTCAAGTGCATGTGTGACTGTAAAAGGGTAAAACTTTGCAGCTTTATACTTTCAGTAAGAGTGTATAGCTATACTGAAAAATCACCTGTTGGTGACAGTCCTAGCTTAAGCCTGCATGATGCTATAATGCAGTTTAATTGTACAAGACTTTTTCTGTGACCTTGAGTTGTGTTTTTATGTAGTGCATTCTTCAGCATCTAGTAGGAATGCTAAAATGGATTTATGCGTATCACTTTTTTCCAAGCAAAAAAAAATATGATTAAGACTGGGACTGCGTGTTAAGGAAACTCATTCTAGTAATGTTACTGCTAGGGTGATGTTTTTCTCCAACCTGAACATTACCAACATTCAAAATTAAGGTTTCATTTAGAAGAAATTCTTAAATATTTAGCGTATGGAGATGCACAGTGGAGCCATAAATCTGCTTCTTAAGTGATATGACAACAATGTAAAAATGTACAAGGAGGCATTTTAGAAATCTTGACTAATGACTGCAGACTCATTTCAGCTCCTTTTTAGACGGAATGTTTGGGACTTACTTTTACTTCTTTCTCATTACATTATTATCAGGTATACTTGTTACATGCCTGGAGACTTTGAAAACATTGGAGTTTTTGTTGTTGTGGTTGGTTGGTTGTTGTTTTCTGTTTTGGTTTTGGTGGGTGTTTTTTCTTCGTTTTTCTTTTAAGTTACCTAGATTGTGCCTCCCATGTCCCACCGCCTTTCAACAGAGAGAGAAGTGACAGCTGTCCATCACAAAATAAGTTCTAGGTTTTTTTTAAAATGGTATTAAAAATGAATTCATTTGTATAGTTTCTGTCATTCTTCTAAACCAAAATCTACTACGTCCTGTGCTTCAAAAAGTGTTTTATATTTAGGGAGGAGAAAATAAATAGATATATTTTTAAAATATTTTAAAAGTGACGTCTGTGCTTTAAGCATAAAATGAAACTTCATCTGTACAGTTCCTGCTCATACGGGCACATTCTGGTCAGCTTTCTGTACATGAACGGTAAGGGTTAATAGTTTGACAAAAATACTGTACCTAGCTGCATTGAGAGCAGCAGTGAGGTGAGTGGGCAGTGGGCATGCCAGGCCCTGCCTCCAACACAAAACCCCTGGAGTTTCCTCCTCATTTGCCTCTGTGCAAGGCAGCCAGTGTCCCTTTAAACAAATTTTACAGAAGTTGAGGAGTCCATTTTTCTTAGTCGGGATAATGGAATGTCCTCTGTATTGAACTATGGAGATCTCAAATATTTTTTTAGCACAACGTGGAACTTTCAACTGCTGCTCTGGGCTAGTTTTCGTGTGCTAATGTACTTGGAATGCAGCACTTCACACCTACCGGGAGGTAGTAAGGGCTGCATTCCTAGGGGATTATCACATCTCTGCTGGGGAGAGGGGAAGAGAATAAAGGGTAATGGGGAGGGTTTCTCAAAGCGAGTGAGGGACTGACAGCTCCTGAACACTCAGGATTGGGGACTTCTGTCAGCCTCGTGTCTAACCTTTGGTTTAAAATATTTGTACTACTGGAGTGTTTTTAGCCATGGCTGTGGATCAATTGCTGTGGCTTCCCAAGTCGCAGTGTGCAGGTGAATTCTGACAGTTTTATCTGCAAGACATTAAATTCTGTCATTAAAAAAAACTTAAAATTCATTTAAGTTTTTGTGTTTCTGCATCACTTCAGCTTCCAGTGTCATGCAGTTGTTAGTGAATTCTTTATACCTGTGTCAAACAGAGGGAAAAAAGATTCCTTTAAATTATCCCTAATAATGGTGTGAGATAGAGTAGAATATTTAGTTTGGAAGGGACCTACAATGATCATCTAGTCCAACTGCCTGACCACTTCAGGGCTTACCGAAAGTTCGAGCAAATTATGAAGGGCATTGTCCAAATGCCTCTTAAATGGTTTGTTTCAAGCACGTCGCTACTGGTGGCTTGCCAGCTAGTACAACTCCTGAATTTCCAAAGCATGACTGGGGATCTACAGGCTATGGAACTCTACATTTAAGATAGTGGTTCTGCTTTGCAATTGAAGTATTTCAGCACTTTCTTTGATAACATTGCTTATGAGCATCGTGGAGGTGGAATAGAAGGCTTTTGTGCCTGGGTAGAAAAGAATCACTAAGGCATTATGGGAGCGGTGAGAATATCTTGCAGCACTCAGCCCGAGATGATTGTTTGCTGTACTTGCTCCAAAAAAGGGAGATAAGTTTTCTGTGTTCTTCTGACTTGTGAAGTTTCCGAATCTTTTACTAATTGGCACAATAAGTACTGTACACACTAGCCTGGTGTGTGGAATATATGCCCTGTTATAAAATGTTTCTATTTACTAGTAGGTTTTGACTTGGGAAGCTCTAAGGAACAGAGGAAGGAACTGCTGTTAATATTTATAACTGAATTAACAGTGCTTTAGGAAACACCTTTTTATATCATGATATAAAATGGATATCTTGCATAGAATTGTTTTCTAACAGTTGTGGGTATATGATGTTAATGTCTGTAAAGTTTATAATCTCTTTGTATATATTAATTTCTGAAACAAGATTTCATTGTTTGAAAAGGAAATGAGTGTGAAGTAATACTGCTATCTTCTTTTTAATAGGGATGATGATGCCGCAGTTTAATATTTCTCAGAATTCCATGCGTGGGAGTCCTGCATCTTCCAATTATCAACAAACCACTATCTCACATAGCCCTTCCAGGTAATTCTTTCTTTTAAATGGGGTGGGAGAGGCAGTGAACTGCAAATTCGTCCTACAGTGACAGAGTCAGTTCTTGTTTCAAGTGAGTGGAAAGTGATCAGTGTCAAGACAAATTTTGCAGTTGTCTGACAGCAGGGTGAGTTTCTTCAGCTGGCAAAGCAACATCTTTTTTGTCAGTGAATTAAGCCTTGTACTCTGAGGGTTAGTCATGATTCTCCTTGCTCTCCCCCTCCCATAATTTTAGCAAAATTTCTTTCCTGCTTAAGGAGCCTCTGTGCCTCCTGCCACCCCTCCAGGTGTTTTCTACCTGTGGCAGAGGCTGACTGGTAGCAAGAGGATCAGGAGAGAAGAGGCTAATGTGTTCCAGCATGTATAACAGTACCAGTGTGACAGGAGGGTGGGAAAAAAGGCTTGTAAAAGCATGGAGTACAGCTATAACAGTTATACAAAAGCCCTCTCAGAGGTTGATAGGCCCAGTAGTTTGGCCAGTCTTCCAGCAGCATCCTCATCAACTTTCATTTTTAGACTTTTGAGTATTGGCAGGTAGCATATGCCTATAATCCAGGCCTTTATTAATATAATAAAGTACTCTGAACTGGAGGAAAGAGTTCTGCATGCAGTTACTGGCCTTTAACAGATTTCATCTTCAGTTACTAGATATCATTATTAAAATAAACTTACTTCACATTTCACTTCAAGTTAATGTAATTGTTTTGGCAAATAAAATGCTCTGTATCTGTACAAAAGCCAGTAAGTTTCTTTACTTTGATATCTAAAAGGAATATTGAAGAAGGTTTTTTGAGTTGTGGATATTACAATGAATATTACAAAGTCTTCTCAAAATCCTTCTAAAATCCTTATGTTGAATACTTAGCTATTTCTTTTATGGCAGTTTACTTTCATAGAGTTACTATCTAGAACTGAGGGTTGTGAAACTGTGTAATGTACTTTCTGAAGTATTTCTTTGGTTTATTCTTATTTTGAAAAGCTTATATAAGAATGTAAGTTATAGTGTGCATGTATTATTGTCACAACCTTGTGTTATTTTTATGGCTTCCTATCTGTAGGATCAGTCTAAGATAAAGCCAGGGAAAGAATAAGTTGTATTCAGTGGACTTCGGATCAGGTCCTACCTAACCGCATATCACATTCCTATATCTTGACAGTATGGTTCTGCTAGATTAAGTTCTTTGAAATCTTACTGAAAAAATCATACTTAGAGTAGATGGCTCCTGGTAGTCCTAAAGACCTAGATGTTAGTTAAAACTTAGCTGTCACTTTTATTCAAACTTCTAGGTCTAACTGCTGGAAATTGCAGATCTTGCTTTAATGCATATTTGTGTCATTGTTACCTCTTTCTAGGTGGAGGTCTTATGAATATGTCTTATTCTGTTCTTTACTTTTACTATTGCAGTACCTAAGCTGTGACTCAAGTAATATGGAGTTTGGGAAGGTATCAATAGCTTAAAATACTGCTTTTGAGGCAGATTCTTGATTGTGGTGGAGTTTTGTATTGTAAGGAAGTTGTAGTGTTCTGAATGTATAATATTCCAAAAGAAATAATAAATTTTCTAAATTTGCTTTTCCAACTTTTAACAACTTTCTTTTTTTATTTTATCTTTAGCCGGTTTGTGCCACCACAGACAAGCTCTGGTAACAGATTTTTGGCACAGCAGAACAGTCCAGTGCCTAGTCCATATGCTCCTCAAAGTCCTGCAGGATACTTGCCATATTCACATCCTCCAAGTTATACACCACATCCTCAGATGCAGCAAGGTAAGTCTGTGATGTTTGTTTTATTCTCCTGTCTCATGTCAGCTTTACCTTCATGTGCATGTTTCACAGCTTTCTAATTTACTTGAAGGAAGCACCCACTTAATGCAAATCTTTGAGCTGACAAGTATGTTGAAGCTTTCCTTTCTGACTGTACAGAGTGGTAGTATATACTTGATTTAAAAAGAGTAAAATAAAAGGGAAGAAGAAAAGGTAAAACACATGTTCACATTGCATTGCTCTCCTATGTGCATAGCTGTCATGTAGACACGACAACAGAAAAAAATCAAAACAAACCAAAACCTTTTATTTGTTAGCTATGGACATCATTTATCTGTACTAGCAAAAAGCTTGTTTTTGCCAACGTGTAAGTTCTTCTGCCAGGTTATTTAGCGTTACCAAACCTTTGTAGTGTCAACTAGATTAAGTCCAGGTTGGCTAGAATTATGCACAATATATGCAGTAACTGGCAAAAATGACTTTCAGAATGAATGGATTTCTTTGTTCTGTTAAAGTATCTAGGCAGTTTTTTGTTGGTAAGTAGAATTCTCACTGGATTCTTTTAACTCATTTGTTCTTAAAATTTAGCATTGTACTTAGAATGTATATAGCTGTTCTGCATGTAATGTTGTATGTCTCACAAATACCTTGAAAGTTACTAAAGGTAAGAATACAAATTATATATAGAAAAACAAAGTTTTCTATAGCCAGTAAGAATATGATACTGACTGTAATTAGGATAGATGTGGAGAGAAACCTGACTAATCTGTACATGGAATTTAGGTTTTAAAATTAAACTCATAGATATCTAATTTTATTCAAGGTATTTTTGTGGCACAAGGATTCAGTCAGAAAGTTGGATTCTTGTTCAAATTCCAGACCCCTTGCATCCAACTCATTAATATCCACTGTTACGGTGTTTTCTCTGAAACTTAAGAGTTAACAAGTGTGTGAACATATTAGTACAGTGTAGTTACTCATATCTTTTGTATTTCAGCTTCAGTATCCAGTCCCATTGTCACAGCTGCGATGAGGAATCTCCATGAAAATAAAGTTTCAAGTCAGTTGTCTGGAAACTCAGCTAATCATCATGCTGATAATTCTAGACATGGCTCAAATGAAGACTACCTGCAGATGGTGCACAGACTAAGCAGTGATGTATGTTACCTAAATCAGTTTATTATGATAAAGCAAATGTCTACTATGATAAAGCAAGTATGTGTTTAGCTGCCTTAGAAGTCAGATATTTTACTATGTTTTTGTTGATGTATAAAACTACTGAAAATCTGTTTCAGTGTCAGATGTGTACACTCAGCCATGCAATTTTAATGTATGAGATTTAATTTTTTCTAGATCTCTTTCC